TTCTGAAAATTCACAATTTTAGGTTCCGAGGAACTCAAATGGAAAACTTTTAAAGCACTTTTAATCAGATAAACAATAATGAATAAAAATCGTCCGTAATATAAAAATAGTAATGACGAGAGATATTTTTTAAAATATTTATATTTGTGAATATTTTGAAAAAACAAAAGAATATATCCAAATGGTATTACGTCACGAAATTCAATGCATTTAGTACAATCTACATAAAAAATTTAAAGAAATAATTTGGAGTTATTTTCAAAAAAAATGTGTTTGAGCGTTTCTGAAAATTCCCTTGTTGGTCTCATTTTCTCAGGAAAGTTTTTGAGAAACTTTTATCAGACACTTGTACTAAAAAGTACAATAATGTATACAAATTACTGGTAATAAAAATATTAATGACATCACAGAGTTATCATAAAATTATATTTTTGTACGTTTTGTAAAAAACAAAAGAATATAGCAACATGGTATTTATGTCAACTTTCACAGTACATTTTCCACTATTTCTACCAACATTTTTTAAGAATATTTGAATTTGAGAAAATATTGTTTTTAATATTGCACATTTTTTACTCAAAATTGCACATAATTTGCTAAATCTATCAAAAAAAAAGAACAAGTCAATAATGAAAGAACTGTGTGTAGAAAACAAATTTTATTTGGAAACTAGAGGCGCTTAAACAGCACATACTTTCTCGCATCGTTGGGAACTGCCCTCACTTCAGAGCCAAAAGTACATTCGCAAGGAAGTAAAACTGGGCAAGTCTTGTTGAGTATCAGAATCCTTACACTATCTTTTCCTACACACTAAAGGTAGTGTGACCGTCCCGTCGTGCCTCTATCTGTATTACAATTAATTTTACATCATTTACCTGATATCTAAAAAACCTGTTTCAATTTTAATACTAATCTTTCCGGCACGAGTGGCATTGGCACTGGAATATTTGTATTAGGATCGTGGGGCTGAAGCCCCTCCTGTACTGGATAGGGAAATAATATTTATCATTACTTTTTGGTGATGGGAGGGCAATTACCTTTTTATCTACAAACAAAAATTAACATACACATCATTCCAATTTATATTGAGCACCGTGGTTAATGGTACCGTTAATTTATTCAGCGGTGTTAATCTGCGCCGTCGCCACTTTCCTGTGTGACGCTGCCAATAAAAAATCATACCACAAAACAAGAAATACCCTTTAACACAATAATAATGAATATAATTTCACATTCACACTTAATGCAAAAAAATATTTACACAATTCCCATTCATACTGTGCTCGTTATTAGTTTGATGGCCATCCACGTTATTTCAAGGTATTTACCAAATTTATTACAAATGATTGGCCTCTTCATGAATATATATATATTTTGTACGCGCGGGGTAATATCTGGGGATGTCCACTTTCCTGAATATAATGATGTTGCCGCCAGCCCGTGAATTCGCTCCATCCACCATACCATTCCGTCAGCTGGCTCGCCATTTCCACCTTACCACACTTCCCATGCGTTTCTACGCAAAACCTACTAAATCAAGTACTTCCGTTGAATCTCACTATCTAAGTAATGAAATCAGCGCATACTCCAACGCATTCTCTCCGATAACTAATTTCACTCTCCCCAAAACACGAAAAGTGCCAGCACATGCTACACCGTGTTGTCGGCTCGGATCCCTGTGTCTTCTCGTCAGTCAGTCTTGTCGTTCGATTGTTTTTTTAACTATTAAATACGTCAGTTTTTTTTAGTTACCTTATTGCACCTTTTTATTAATCATTGTGACGAGTCCGAATGGACTGTAGGAAGAAACATTTTAATAATATTTAATGTTTACTCCAATGTAATAGAACTTCATGGGCAAACGATCTTCAGATTTGATTTGAAATTACTGCTGAAAAATACCTCCATTCCTCTCACACCAAGGAAAAGAGAGCTCAAGAAAACTTGTGCAGTAACTGAACTTACATTACTGATCAGCAGCAAAGTAAGGGGCCACCTCAGCATTTGCTGAAAGAATCAAGAAAATCTGAACGAAAACCTGATCAAAATGGGTCTTTGACCTTGAAGCTGAATTACATGTTAGAGATAGAAATAAACATATACAATAAAATAATTGTTTTGGGGAGCAAAGGAGTTAACATTTCAAGATTGTTTTGTACTGTTCCATTTTCAAAATAAAATTAATGTAGTTTTGTCATTTTACAACCACAGCTACTGGCACAGTCAGAACACAGGATACATTGGTTATAAGTTTTTTCTTTGTATCTGTTTGAAAGTCAACATAAAACAAAGTTAGAGGGGATAAGATTTATTTTAAGGGAAGTGGCTTAGTAAGGGTAGTAGCTTAGAGAATCTTGTTTGTGAAGACTGCTATTTCAAATATATACATGTATGGTAGCGGAAGAATGCCCAATTTTTTTTACATGGGATTGCAAGTCACCCACTTGTCAGTGCGGTCATTGTTCACAGTATTATTTTTGGATAATAAACATGTGAGAACTTTCACGGGCAGTACCCTAGTATATTTTCCAAGTTTTTGGTTTAGTGAACATTTACAAAATACATTGAGGGGTCTCAATGTTGAGTTATATTTAATGATGTAAATGGAAAAGAAAGGTACCAAAGGAAATGGAAAACTCATGTAAGACAAATGAAACCAGGCATATTCTGCAAACAGATTCAGAAATGCCAACCAGGAGGAGAAAGAGAACTGGGTAGGCCAGGAACACGTCATCAGTGACAAAGGGAATACTGGATGAAATGAACAGTCCTCTAAGCCTAAACCTTCATGTTCAAAGATCATCATATGACGATGACTAGGGAGCAGATTTCTATGATTTTCCATATCTTTGTCCCTTGCTTCAGGGAATAGCAGATAAATTAAATTTCTTGACTTTTGGTTAGAATTAGATGCTATGTAGATTAATATGTTAGTGCAAATTTGGCTGATTTTTCCTGTTGGTGCATATTCATGAAATTATAGGTGCATATTTTGCATATTTCGTTAAAAAAAAACAACTTATTTCTTAAACCTTTCATCTCTTCATAGAATCTATTGATTTGTGAGCATTCATTGATCAGAAAGATCTTATCACAGTTTGAGGGGGGGGGTTCCCCTATAGATGTTAAAGCACTTGTGCAAATGTAGGATATTTTTGAATGTAGTTTTTAAACCAGGCAGAAGAAATGCAACAAGACATACTAAGATGAATATTTAATTACTTCTCCCATGAAGTAAGTTGGGTTATATTATGTTTCCACAAAATAATATCTTTTCATTCCAAGCATGCTTCTCCGGAATTTTATCTACAGGAAATGAAATATTGTCAATTTTAATTGCATATTCAAGAGCACATTTCATAATTTTTAGATCAGAAATGTATTTTTAAATGCATATTTCAAGATTTTTTTTAGAGCAAAAAATTCTCTCCCAAATGATGACACTTCATTTATATTCGAGCAATTTGAAGGGCTGAAGATTGGAGCAAATCCAGCTTCCTGAAATATTACCTACGATATAGTCAAAAACAATAAACAAAGATAAATGTGTAATAGTGTCTTGTTTTAAAAGATTGTCCAAAACAAGATTATAAGGTCAAAACTCACTTATAACAGCTGCCAGCTACCATTATAAGTAGGGGTGGATGGATTTAATTTTTTGATTTAATTCTTCAATTCAATTCTTCATTCAGTCACTCATCGTGTCAGTGTTCCTTCTTATGCCAAGTATATGGTGTAGAACGTGTTTCTGGAGTAATCCTCCATTAATTATGTTATTATGAAGTAATCCACTGTTAATTCTACTAGTACTTTGTATTAAGTGTCAGTAGTCAAGAGGACCGCCAGGTAGCACTTCCATGTGGGCGCTCTCACAAATGCTCCTTCATCACTACCCAGCAGACAGATTTGCAAAGGAATTAGTATAGGAGTATGATTTAGAATACTTCACATGGGGGTGGACTAGCACCTGAGAAGCAGACAAACTTATTTTGTTCAAACACATTTCACAAGAGATTGTCCAGGAATCAAACCCAGACCTGCTTGGTGATAGGCACGCGACTTTGTCGTTTGCCTGTGAATCAAGGCATAAGCAAACTAAGAACATGTGTAGAGCCCAATATATCAATGAAATTTTATGTTAATTCATAAATATAGAGAGAAATATATAAAAAAAAAACAAAAAAACATGCTTTACATTTCAAACTTAGTTTACTTGAGTTCCGAGATTATTTTATAGTATTTCATTTAAGTTTTTAGAATGAAAAAACAAAAAATTAACTTTGCCTCCAAAAAAAACAAAGTAGTATTGACACAGTCATTCTCATCCCTTTCAAGTGTTAAAACGTTTCACAAAACAAAGGAAAAAATGAAATTCATTAAGTTTTGATGAAAGGAGTAGATATTAAGAAAGTTATCCAAGAGCTATGCATCTAGTACTGCAAAAACCTGAAGTAACTTAAATAAAATTAAATTGTAAGATTTGGCTTCTGATAAGTCTTGGGCAAAAATTCTCTTCATGCAAGAAAATAGACCATACAATGTGAAAATCTTGTTAATGGTCAAATGTTTCTTAGTTAACTTAACACACAATTCCCAAATAAATCTATCTGACAATTCCAGTAGGTTTATTCTTCCTAGTAATTTTCTTAAGAAGATGAAGGAGAAGTTCATTTTTGGCATGTAAAAAAAGTTCAAATCATGCAAGGCCAGGTATCACTACAATCACTGTCCAAGTCAAAAATCAGCCTCCTTTTTGTAGATATTTATTAGAAGTTAAAATAAAAAATATTTATACACATATAGCCGATGTAGCCTACCTAGCAATGAAGGCATGATGACAATAACGATGATAAAACAAGAAAGAAAATAACAGACCGATTAAATTCAGCTCTTTTTTTTGTTCTTTTCCGCTGTACTTGCTACTCTGGTAAACCAAATAAAAAAATTTCTCTTATATTTTTAGACAAATAACATTATGACATTTTTCAAGAAATGAATTTGTATTTCACACTTTTTTTTTACTTAATTCAAAAATTTAAATAGCAATCATAATAATGAGTTTATGGTGGAAGACTATTTCAGTTCGTGTAAGAGCAAATACTGAAGGAAATCTATAACAATTTGTCTAAAATTTTTCTTTTAACATCAAAACATTATTTTTCTAACCTCATTCTAGCAAAGTACAAAGATCAATTTATTTTTTTTGCCTTTGTAAATTATAAGTTGAAATCTTGTAATAGTTTGATATCAACCACTCTTCAATTTGAAAAATACACAAAATACTGAAAAGATGTTAAATTTTTTTGAACTTCATGAAGAATTTTTTCTACACAATTTTCACATCTGAAAATTCTCTATACTATTCAAAGTACAGAAGTAAAAATATTTCAGTTGCACCATTAGAAGACACAATCTAACTGCCTCTATTTGTACTTCATGTTTATGATTAAAAGAAGTCATGATGTCAGTACCATTCAACTACATTACATGACTGCATCTGACAAGGCAATTGATTAGAAACAGGAACACCAAGACAGTGATAGATGAATGATTAATGTCTAAATTTTTTTGCCAAGAAAGTAATACTCAGATAGTCATATATTCTTCATGACTTCGAAGCTATGACACAGAGCAAAACATGTTTGAAATTTTAAAGAAACTGATCAATTTTAAACACATTGAAATCATAGTATTATAACTACAGCATTGTATGTGTGGAAAAAAAGAGTTAACACTGCAGCTTAATAACACAGCCAGGCTCTCCATCACTTTGTAAATGATATTACAACATCAATAGTTAAGTCTTCCATCACAAATTTGGAGGTTTCAACATGTACTATTACAGGTAAGAACACTAGCATATTTGCACATGCAAACAATTTTATTTGAGCAAGTTATCTATATAATACTCGATTATGAAACAATGGCTCAAAAATACAATTTCTCATTTTGACACATTCGCATCCATTTAGCATACTTTCAACTTCATCGTTCCGTGTACTAAATATATAAATATACATTCATTTATACAAAGAATATTCACATATTTGTGAGTGCCCATACATACATGTACTATACACACACCCACACACATACGTACCTACATACATACAAACCACACAGTTAAGTGATGGAATGTGCCCAGAAATTTTTTTAACTCAAAATGGGACATTGTATCCGAGAAACAATCTATACAATTTTACCACTAACTACAATAACAACATTATTAAAAATGTGAATATTACATAATGTGAAACATGGGTTTTACATTATAGAATAATGTAGGAATACATACACATTTCTAAAGAAGTTGTGATGAAATATCTTTCATAGTTTCATGTAAAAATATATTTATATGTTAATTTACAAAAATTGTACATCAACATATCACAAAAATCTATACAAGGTTGAAGAACATTAAGTCTGGGTAGGCCCCATCTTGGCCCTAAAAACCTCTACATCCTCTACATGAGTGCAGGTATGTATAAGTGCACAAAGTATTACTCTTTCTAGTGCACATCCGCCTTCACATTGATGGAATAAGTTGTCACTGGGCTTTGGTTTTCTCTTGCAATGCAGCATATTCCATTGCTTCCTGGTAAATTTTTTTGTGGGCTTCTGACATAATACTCCTTGTTCGTTCCATTAAACTATCAAGATCTTCCACCCCAAGACCTTTTGTGGGAATTGGTGGCAATGCTTCAATAATGATCTTGCCTAGAAATCAAAATAAAGAATATTAACATGATATTTGGACAGTGTTTTGGATTATTCAATGTTTTTCCAAAAATGTTAATTCATACAAAATAGGAAATATGCAAACACACAACTCTTTTTCTTAAAGAACAAATTAATAAACGTGATTGAAAAATAGTCAAGCACATTCGTACCAATATATCTTGTCAAAACATAAAACTTACCAGACCCAAAATACTTTGTTTTCCCATCTACCATGTAGTATGGTGAAAATACAACAGGAAAGATAGGAGCTTGACAAGATATAGCAACTCGGAAAGCACCCTTCTTAAATGGAAGCATTTCTGCAGGGTTTTTGTTTCGTGTTCCCTCAGGAAATAACCAGAGTTTTGTCTGTAATGCACATTATTTTACATGAATATTAAACAATAATATTTGTCATGAAAAATTAACACTCCCAGCACATTTTAAAACTCACATTATCCACCATAAGTTTTGAGGCCCGAGCTAACTGCTGATGAGCTTTCGTTGGATGCACACGATCAATGAAGACAACACCTCCCAACCAGGCAGCCACACCAAATGGCCACACCCAAAACACCTCTTTCTTTGCTACAGGAGCACATCTCTTCATAACATCCCATATGTTAAAAATACCTAGAAATCACAAAATATTTAAAAAAATAATTTCACTGTCATAATTAGCATTAAGTACCTATGGCAGTAAATATTAAAATTATTTTTTACTTATTTTATGTTTCAAGTTTTTCAGAGTGTTTATTATTAGTAATTATATACGTTTGTCAAATTCGATATAGCTCTACCTGAATATGAAATAAGATTTGTTTAATTGAATTACTAAAAGAATAGGGTGCATTTGTTTCTCTTAAATTTATTTTTGTTGATATTATTCCTTCATTTTATCGTGTTTCTTATTTGGTAAATAATATATTAATTCAAATCACTAAGAGTTTTGTTTAGAAAGGAATTTGAGCCTTCTACAAAACCAAATTTTGTGACTTTTGCTTTAAATGAAAGGAAGTGCGCCCTAGACATTATCTCTGGCTCATCTTAACCTGCTTTATTGTAAAACCACTACATATTAATAATATATTAAAATCAATAGAATGAAAGCATATCTGCTGTCATTTGTTCATTATGTCATTTTCAAGACTTACTATGATCCATATAGTCTTAACTTCACATTAAGTCTTTTACTTTGCAAGTAGCAATACATCTATTGAAACCAGTCCAGGTTTCATAGTGCTTTAAGTTCAAAGATTAATGAGTGGTTTGTGTGAAGATTGGAGAGTGAAGTTGGTGATTTTTGCTTGACTGCTAACCTATCTGTCATTATTATAAAATTAGATTCTCTACTATTTCAAGAGGACATAGTTGGATTTTTTATGATATTTCACATTGTTATAGTCTTGCTATTAGCATTCAAAACATCCTGATTATTTTTTGATATTTTTACTGGTGCTATTACTTTCCTTAAAGTGCCTTTGTATTTTTGGAAGTACACATGGAAATAGTCTGATTTGTTATACTGTAAATGAAAATGAGAGGTTTGGAAAAAAACATTACATTTATGCTTTTTGTATCAAAAACACCGTAAACCATGTCACATGATTTCTGCAGCAAGTTGTCCATAAATTATTTTATTTCATCTATTCATACATATGTGTATTATGTGATGTGTCAGTGTTCAAGTTACCAAGAATTTTAAAAATTTGGGCATAGTAGTCCATGTAGCATAGCGTTGAATTTAGGCATTGTAGACTAACCCATTCGTTATTATTTCATACATGGCAATGGTTTTTGTTATTTATGATTTGATACATTGCATTTTCTGAATTAACATGGCCTATTCTGAATAGGTATATTTGCTGTAATATCTGAACTGAAAGAATGAATTAAATCAAGTAATTCTCTTCTTCACCGAGAAAATCAATGTTAAAATCTCACATAACCATGGATTCAAAACATGGATTACTGGTATTAGTTAATTTTGTTCAAGATTTTCCACGAAAGTGAAGTAATTTATAGCTTGCTTTGCTGGAGGCCAGCAGATGAAAAGTAAGATCATTTCGATCATAGTAAAATGAGAGACTCCTCTAAGAATGTTTTCAACTTGAATTTTGACTATTAGATTGACATGAAGGAAGAATCAATATCATTTCTTATTTCATTCCCTTGCTCTACAATATCATGCTGCTAGATAAGAACTAATAATTTGGGGAGTGCTTAGTTCACTATGAGGAAATCAATATTCTATAAAGCAAAACACATCTATTTGCCTTAGATTAAGCTGAAATTTTACTTCAATAAATTCAATTTTATATGAAAGAGACTGAACATAATGATGCAAATCTATTACATGGCCCTATACATTAAAACTTACCCAAAATATCAAGCATTGATTGGTGGTTGGATACAACAACCCCACCACCTTGTTCCTCCGTGAGGTTGTGTCCTCCTCGCAGCTCCCATGATATGCCCATGAGCTTAGTCACATGGCGCAAAGGTTTAACAGCATAGCTGCAAAAAGGAAAAAAAGCATGTTGCAATTGACCCACAATAAGTTGATGAGAAGGAAACTGATTTCAAGCTTTAGAATGAACTGTGACAAAACTCACAATCTCTATTTGGTTCAATATAAATGCAATTGCACTTATGAATTATTTATTTCCTACTAAAATATGTCATATCTAAAAAATAGTTTAATGCAAAAGGGGGCCTCGAGAGACCTACATCATAGTTTCCTCCTCTGCACTTGTTTTATGATGTTAGTTCAATATTGGCTTTCATACTAAATTAGAAATTAATAATGGGTTAGATTTTGTACATATACAACCATTCTCTAGAGGAATGTTTGCGATCAACCTAAAGTGTATGTTATTATATACCTAAATCAAACTCTCAGAAGATTCAGGATAATGTGTTTCTGACTACTTAAGTGCACACTAGGTGGGCACTGAGCCCTAGCTCCAGACATGTATTTAATTTACCTGATGCCCTGAGCAGCAATTTTTCCCCCCCTTAACAGCTTTTTTTTTGAAATGCGTAATATTCATCTCTTCAAGTGAAGAGTGGTAGAAAAGATTAAAGCTTGGCAGTGCGGGGTACACAGCTTGACTTAGAGCTAACGTTTCGTCCACAACCCGATGGCCGAAACGTCAGCTCAATCGACTGAGACGCGGCTCAAGAATCCGATGACCCCGGTTGCGGAAGCCTACGAACACAAGATTAAAGTACTCTAAAATAAAAATTTTCAGTGTACATTATTATTTGATTTGAAATTATTACACGGCAATTTCTTTCAAAATCGCCGATCTGTACTAGATTATGGAAGTCCTGGAAGTTACAAAATTGATTTCAAATAAACGAATCTCTATTTCTTCATACATGTGAATTGTTTAAAACTGAATAAGTTGTACGTGCATTTTTTAAAGAACTAGAAAGTACCCATCACGAGCATGTTGTTATCATACACAATTTCAAAGCTTGTACCACGTTCACCTGCGCCGAAGGTTTTCTCTGGGCTGGCGCGAGAACATCTCTTTGTGCTACTCACGAATGCTAACTTACGCCCGGCAGCGGCGGGGGGGGGGCACTCACTAGTTGTTGAGGACGTCGCAAGGGCGCAGCGCGAAGAAGGGGATGCAGATGACGGGAAAGGCACACGGAGCCCGTGTACAGCGACAGGCGGCCGAAAGTAGTTGAGGGGCGGCCGCGCCCGTCGCGCCGCCGTCACCAGCAGCAGCAGCGCCGTACCGCCAGCAGCACAGCAGCGCTGCCTCGCCCATGCAGCACGCGCGCTGCGGAGGCGTCGCCGGCGCCCGCCCCACGCGCCCGGCGCCCGCCCCTCGCCCGCGCCCACGCCCGCCGTCGCCGCTCGCCCACCGTCGCCTCCATGCCTCCTGCGCTGCCGTAGAGTCTGCAACACAACACGGCGCCGCGCTCGCTTCACTCTCTCGCAACACACACTCACAAACACACTCCAATCCAATTCTTTTTTAATTTGTTGCAACGCGTCTCTAAGCTCCTACCAGGGCATTGAGCGCTTGCATTTGGAGTAATCCTCCGTTAACATATTAATTATATATTTGCCTGCCCAGTCTCGTCGCAGTCAGTTGACAAGAGGACCGCCAGGTAGCATCTCCGTGTTCGCGCTCCTGCGTCACTATCCAGCGGCCAGAATGAAGTAGGGCTCGAGACGCTTCGCACGGATGGGACTAGCCCCTGTGGAGCAGGCAAACTCGTTTTGTGGGAACAAATTTCACGTGCGATTGCCCAGGAACCGAATCCGGATCTCCATGGCAAGCGACTTCACTCAGAGCCACGAGATACCAAATTCAATTGAATGTTGCGTTGCTCCACGAGGCCCAAGCCATCAGGTCCGCTGCTTCGCCTGACCACGCAAATTTCGCTACGTTCGCGATTAAAATTCAGTTCAACTTCTTTTAAGCTTGAGAATCTTGTACATGCAGAAAATCTACATGTGACAGCCAGTTTTACTTTCCCTACGAAGGAAGGTGTGCCAATTATTTTTCGCCCTTAAAAATGTACGGCTTCGATCGGGTTTGTAACCCGAAAGGCAAAATGTTTACAGTAAGAGTGCATAAATCCTCGAAAAATTACAATCGTTCCTATTAATACTAGCCTAGCGATATTTTTGAAATTATATGATAATTGTATTTAATTATCGGCAACAACCGTTGCAATAATAACAACAAAAATCATGGAATTAACTTGTCAATAACGTGTCCAAGCAAAAATGCTAGAGAGCTAGTATGTGATCACTATACTTTGGAATCATAGCCGGTTTTAATTTTGTTTGCATTCTATTACTTGCAATTGTCTCAATGCAGAACTAATTCAAAAACTCTGGTGTCCATTGGAAATCACAGCAGGATATATTTGTACAGGAGGTATGCACAACCTATATGAACTCGCATAAAATTATGTAAATGTTTGAATATAGAATTTTTTAAACTTAGCTTTCATGAATTTTCGAGTTGCTTACGTTTTATTATATATTAGTGTTCTCATATTCTGTAAATTCCATTCCCAAAATTCAATGAAACTGCAACCCCCATTTGGGGGGGGGGGGAGAGGGGGCATCAGCCGGCACTGCTCAACATTCATCTGAAGTTTCATCAAAATAAATTTGCCCTTTTCAAGGCAAGAATTAGGCAACTAATTTAGCGGAACAGGTTGTTTTGCACATGTCATATTTCCATCATTTTGTCCAAAGTAACATTCTCGAAAAACTATGCTAAATACATCGCCTAACGCTTGTACTGAAGAAGGTCAAATTTACTATATGGACAAAACATCAGTAAATATTTTTTCCGTCAGAATGTTGAGTTCAATCCACTTTACAATTTTCATTCCTATTTCAATTATTTATTTAAAATCGATTATACGATATATTTGGATGAAATTTATTTCCTTTAGCGCTCGACTTCACAAGAGCTTTTAGAGTGGTTTCCTGAATTGGCATCGTCTCCGAAATGGACAAGACCCACTGTTAATATTAATTTTGAAAATATATAATCCAACATAATTAAAAATCGTGGGCCACGGAGCACTGTACTGGCTGCACAGATCACAAACAGAGTGGTCGGACTGGCCGGGAAGCAAGCGTTCTCAAAGACTGCCGCCTATGACTGGTAAGTAGGAGACAATGCTTTATTAGCATATCATTACAGGCATTTGGTGTCTCATTAATGTTGGCTTATTGTATTTGAATTTTTCGCATCTTTTTAATTTCGCACAATTTGAACACATCGCACAAGTTCAATTCAAAGTGTCATTTATCTACTTATTGTGTCGTACAGTAATCTTCGCGTTCTTCCAAGAGGATTAGCTCATTCCCCAGATGGTAAAAGAACGGATCTTTTGACGTAAACGAGCCAAATGTGGTTGTTTTCTCTGTCTAGATCCCACAACTTCCTCGTTAATAACAGCGATAGCATTCGTCGAGACTTATTTTTTTTTTTTTAATTTTTTTTTTTTTTTTTACTAGTCTGTCCGGGTGACGCCGCGTCTATGGCGAAGATAGCCGCGTTTTCGGCGCATGGACGCGGCGTCACCCGGACAGCCTAGTAAATACTGACTCCGGCCGCGGAAACCTACGCTCTCATTCGTCAAGACGTTTAGGTGGACAGAATGGAGGTCCTAAGGGCAGGCAGAGGCAGTGGAAACGGCGACGGCCGCGTTCCTGGTGGCTGGGCCACCGAACTGAGCCCTTGGCCCGCACGAATTTGGCGCGACTTCACTTCCACACGTGAAGGACAGGGAATGTTTTATCTGAAGTATAACAGTCCCTTTTTTTTACCTCATTTATTTTGTTAACGCCTCTGACATCGCAGATCCTGGAGATCGCCAGTGGAGGTAGAAATTCGTGGTTTTACAATGTTATCAAAGAAGTGTCATTGATGGGTTGTTGTTACATTATCTTAGTTTAGTTTCAAATTAGCTTTGAGAATGAGGCCTTATGCACTAGTGAATTTTCTTAATGTAAAATTGTCACGATATTACTCGCAGATCTAAAATGGTCAGGACGTATCTCAAAATTATGTGACTACTACTATTATTTTGGCGAAGTGTACATGAAATTATTTACAGATCTAATATTGAAGATTGGAGTTCATTTAAAAAATCTATCTTTAATAATGACGCCATCGAAAAATTGATGAATGTTTGCAATTTTCAACATTCCAAAGACTTTAATGAAAATTGGACCTATGCTGTATTATTAAGCTAACTTTGGTATACTCGAACAAAAAATAAGAAAGAAAAGTTCACAGGTTTCTAAAAAAGTGTTCGAAGTGGATATTCTTATGAATTTAGAAGTGGAGGTTCTATCATCCGATAACATTTCGTCGCGAAAGCCTCTCGGTTCGCCGTTCGGGCGACTCGAATGTCAGACAAATCGGACCGATTTTTTTTCTCTTAACATTTGTAGAGACATGAAGTGAGTACTGAAAGTAATTTTCAATTTAACTTTGAATTTTTAGAAAAGCTGGCGCTTTGTTTCCAATCGACATTTTTCAACTTGAGGCGTGGCGTTATTTGGGACGGGTGAGCACACTTGAAAAACTTTCTTTCTAAGAATTTGATGCTTAAAACTAATAAATAAATTATCAGCAAAAATAGCAGTATTGAATGATGGTATTTATTAGTCAGCTTCCTAGATAGAACAGAGGTTTTCAATTTAGAGTTCGTCAAATAACTTCAGATCGTAGTTTTTTAAGTTTATTTCAAATCTGGGAATTTCTACAACTTGTTTCATTAAACCACGTTCATAAAAAAGACATTTTGAAAGATTAGATAGGACGCTCAATAACGATACGATACATAAGCCTGAAAATTTCCCTTTTATAATTTTGTCCAAGAATGCAGGGCGCAAATAAACTAGCCGATAAGAGATTACTTTTTCGGAGTCTCTTTACGCAATGGAGAACTCTAAACTTGTCTTTTATAGAATGTTACCAATGCTATATGATAGCAAGTTTTAGAAAAAAATACTGTAATCCACTATTGTGCATATATTATGTCTTGGCATATTTATTATCACGTTTTTTTGTAAATCCCCGTATCTAACGAATAACGCAATATTATTCGGATAGGAGATAAACGACATCAGAGGCTATCACTCAGTTTTAAAAGTAACTTTGATAATGTAGGCAGTAAAATCTCGTAACTTCAGAGGCGCATTTACGCACAGTCACATAATATGCAGCTGCTGAGGGCGGCCATATTTTGAAATTTAAAAAAGTTTTAAATTAAATAAAATTGTAATTTAAACAATTTAGTAAATAGATATTTGGATTTCAATTACTTTACTATCATTTTCATCAACATTATTAGCAGAAGAACAGTATTAGTGTTATTATATAAAAAATGAAAATTTAATTCAAACTAATACGGAAAACGATTTGAACTAACGCATCAAAGTCCTGTGCTGTCTCATGTCAGAGAGCACGATCAGTTACCGTTGTATATTAACTCTCCTAATTACAATAATTCCCCAAGTTATCTTCAGATGCATCCGTATATTGACTTGATCGATAATTTTGCGTGACAGAAACCAAGTAGGACGCGTTTATAAATTATTGATAAAAAGGTACCGATCAGACTAAGGAAATTTCAGCCATGGTTTCATAAGGACAGCTTCGTCAAATGGAAGGAAACACTTCAGTCTCCACACAGAGACAGGCCATAAAGTATCTTTTGTTCCTATATGCCAGGACAGAAGAAAAGAAATAAAGAAATGCTATGTAGATAAAAGAAAAGCTTACAATCTACTTTAATAAAAAACCAGAGCAGAAATCCTGGAAGAGGAAACTAGAAGTATTGAGGACAAGAGCAGATCCCTTCATAGCACTAACAGATAGAAAATATAGCCTATCTGGGACATATAATATAGTCTATCAAGGGAATACCACAGCCGCATGGGAAGAACGCTTCAAAGAAATACTCAACAAAGAAAACAAGCAAGTAGTTTAACAGAGAAAACAAGTAGCTTAGAGCATACACCCAGCAGGACCAAACTGCCAAGAAAACGAAATCGACTTCCCACAAAAAACGCCAGAAGAAATACCAAATACAATTAGGGCAAAAAAACTTTAGGCCCCGATAACGTATACAATGAACATTTAAAAGCCGCACAAGACACCCCACTTCCACTCACGACTGAGATGTGGCACAAACGCAGAAATGAAGAGTAATACCCAACAGAACAAAGAAGATCAAAATCCCATACAACGGAAAAGGAAACACGACGATCCAATCTCGCACTGGTGCATAGCGGTGGAAAACGTTATATTCAAAATATGCCAGAATCCCGA